AAATGAGGGTCAGTCAGGCAGGCCCCGTATAGATGCAGGGGGCAGTTTTAGTCAGTAGTATAAATGCAGGGGTCAGTCAGTCAGTATAATGCAGGGCATCAGTCCCCTATAAATGCAGGGTCGTCAGTCAGTCATCATATAGATGCAGGGTCAGTCGTCAGTATGATGCAGGTCAGTCAGTCATATAAAGAGGGGGCAGTCAGTCACCCCGTCAGTAAAAATGCAGGGGTTTAGTCAGGTTTAGTAATAAATGCAGGGTCAGTCTCATCGTATAAATGCAGGGGGAGTCCCCTGTCAGCAGTTAATGCCGATCAGTCAGTCAGTATAAATGCAGGGTCAGCAGTCGTCAGTCATATAAATGCAGGGGCAGTCAGTCAGCAGTAAAATCAGGGTAGTCATAGTCAGTGTATAAATGCAGGGTCAGTCAGTCATTTCAGGGGTTTTCCCGTTTAGTATAAATGGAGGGGCAGTCAGTCAGTCGTCCCGATAATGCAGGTCAGTCAGTCATCGTCAGTTAAATGCAGGTCATCAGTCAGTCCAGTTAAAAAAAGGGGGGGCATCCCTAAATCAGTCATCAGTCCCGTATAAATGCAGGGTCCGTCAGTCAGTAGCAGTATAGATGCGGGCAGTCAGTCAGTAAGAAGAGGGGAGTCAGTCAGTCAAAGTATAATGCAGGGTCAGTCAGTCAGTCAGTCATATAGATGCAGGGTCTAGTCATCAGGGCAGGGGCAGTCATAAAGATGGCAGGGTCATCATCAAAAAGGGGCAGCAGTCAAGTCATCAGTATAGAGCAGGGTCAGTCAGTCAGTCAGTCAGAAAAATAGGGGAGCAGTCAGTCAGGTCAGGGGCAGCAGTCAGTATAGATGAGGGTCAGTCAGTCAGTCAGTCAGTCAGTATAAAAGCAGGGTCAGTCACAGTCAGTCAGTATAGATCGGGTCAGTCAGTTTAAAATCATATAGATGCAGGGGGCATCAGTCAGTTTTTAGTCATTAATAAAAATGCAGGGTCAGTCAGTCATTAGTATATAGTGCAGGGTCAGTCAGTCAGTCATCAGTCAGATGATGCAGGTCAGTCAGTCAGTTAGTCCAAATATAATGCAGGGTCAGTTTTAGTATAGATGGGAGGGTCAGTCATCAGTCCATATAGATGCGGGGTCAGTCAGTCATCAGTATAGATGCAGGGTCAGTCAGTCCAAAAATCAGGGGCGTTTTAATTATAAATGGGGAGGGCAGTCATTAAGATGCAGGGTCCCAAAATCCAAAAATCCCCAGTCATCATCAGTATAGATGCAGGGTCAGTCTAGTTAAAATCAGGGGCATCAGTCAGTCAGTAAAAAATGCAGGGTCAAGTCCGTAAAAATCAGGGGCAGTCAGTCAGTATAGTGCAGGGTCATCATCTATAAATGCAGGGGTCAAGTCAGTTTCAGGGGCCAAATCAGTCAGTATAGATGCGGGGGTCAGTCAGTCAGTAAGTCAGGGGCAGTCAGTCAGTCATATAGATGCAGGGGCAGTCAGTCAGTCAGTATAGATGCCCGGGTCATCAGTCATCGTCAGAAGTTCAGGGGCATCCATCAGTCAGTATAGATCGGGTCAGTTTCCCGTATAATGCAGGGGCAGTCATCAGTAGTTTAGGGTGGGGCAGTCAGTATAATGCAGGGTCATCAGTCTCAGTAGTATAGATGCAGGGTCAGTCCCTCGTATAGAGCGGGGCAGTCAGTCAGAAAAATGAGGGTCAGTCAGTCAGTCAGTAAAAAGCAGGGGCAGTAGTCAGTCATCAGTATAATGCGGGTTTAGTCATCAGTATAATCAGGGTAGTCAGTCAGTATAATGCAGGGATCAGTCATCAGTATAAATCAGGTCATCAGCAGTCAGTCAGTATAATGCGGGGCAGTCAGTCATCAGTATAATGCAGGGTTTTAGTCAAAGTAGGGGGCATTCAGATATAATGCAGGTCAGTCAGTCAGTATAGATGCAGGGTCGTCAGTCAGTCAGTCAGTATAATGAGGGTCAGTCAGTCAGTCAGCAGTATAAATGCAGGGGTCAGTCTCAGTATTAAAGCAGGTCAGTCAGTCAGTCAGTCAGTATAATGCAGGGGCGTCAGTCAGTCAGTCGTCGTAAAATGCAGGGGCAGTCAGTCAGTATTTTAATCAGGGCAGCAAGTCAGTATAGATCAGGGTCAGTCAGTCCTATAATGCAGGGTCAGCAGTCAGTATAGAGCAGGGTCGTCAGTCAGTCAGTATAATGCAGGGTCAAGTCTCATCAGTATAATGCAGGGCGTCAGGTTAATCAGGGGCAGTCAGTCAGTCAGTCAGTATAGATGCAGGGCCCGTCAGTCAGTCAAATATAATGCAGGGTCATCATCAGTATAGAGAGGGCAGGTCATCAGTCAGTATAGATGCAGGGTTTAGTCATCAGATTCAGGGGTCAGTATAGGATGCAGGGTCAGTCAGTCAGTCAGTCAGTATAGATGCAGGGTCAGTCAGTCAGTATAGATGCAGGGTCAGTCAGTCAGTCAGTCAGTCAGTCAGTCAGTATAGATGCAGGGTCAGTCAGTCAGTCAGTCAGTATAGATGCAGGGTCAGTCAGTCAGTCAGTCAGTATAGATGCAGGGTCAGTCAGTCAGTATAGATGCAGGGTCAGTCAGTCAGTCAGTCATTATAGATGCAGGGTCAGTCAGTCAGTCAGTCATTATAGATGCAGGGTCAGTCAGTCAGTCAGTCAGTCAGTCAGTATAGATGCAGGGTCAGTCAGTCAGTCAGTCAGTATAGATGCAGGGTCAGTCAGTCAGTCAGTCAGTATAGATGCAGGGTCAGTCAGTCAGTCAGTCAGTCAGTATAGATGCAGGGTCAGTCAGTCAGTCAGTCAGTATAGATGCAGGGTCAGTCAGTCAGTCAGTATAGATGCAGGGTCAGTCAGTCAGTCAGTCAGTATAGATGCAGGGTCAGTCAGTCAGTCAGTCAGTATAGATGCAGGGTCAGTCAGTCAGTATAGATGCAGGGTCAGTCAGTCAGTCAGTCAGTATAAATGCAGGGTCAGTCAGTATAGATGCAGGGTCAGTCAGTCAGTCAGTCAGTATAGATGCAGGGTCAGTCAGTCAGTCAGTCAGTATAGATGCAGGGTCAGTCAGTCAGTCAGTCAGTCAGTCAGTATAGATGCAGGGTCAGTCAGTCAGTCAGTCAGTATAAATGCAGGGTCAGTCAGTCAGTCAGTATAGATGCAGGGTCAGTCAGTCAGTCAGTCAGTCAGTCAGTATAGATGCAGGGTCAGTCAGTCAGTCAGTCAGTATAGATGCAGGGTCAGTCAGTCAGTCAGTCAGTATAGATGCAGGGTCAGTCAGTCAGTCAGTCAGTATAAATGCAGGGTCAGTCAGTATAGATGCAGGGTCAGTCAGTCAGTCAGTCAGTATAGATGCAGGGTCAGTCAGTCAGTATAGATGCAGGGTCAGTCAGTCAGTATAGATGCAGGGTCAGTCAGTCAGTCAGTCAGTATAGATGCAGGGTCAGTCAGTCAGTCAGTCAGTATAAATGCAGGGTCAGTCAGTCAGTATAGATGCAGGGTCAGTCAGTCAGTATAGATGCAGGGTCAGTCAGTCAGTCAGTCAGTATAAATGCAGGGTCAGTCAGTCAGTATAGATGCAGGGTCAGTCAGTCAGTCAGTATAGATGCAGGGTCAGTCAGTCAGTATAGATGCAGGGTCAGTCAGTCAGTCAGTCAGTATAAATGCAGGGTCAGTCAGTCAGTATAGATGCAGGGTCAGTCAGTCAGTCAGTCAGTATAGATGCAGGGTCAGTCAGTCAGTCAGTCAGTATAAATGCAGGGTCAGTCAGTCAGTATAGATGCAGGGTCAGTCAGTCAGTCAGTCAGTATAGATGCAGGGTCAGTCAGTCAGTCAGTCAGTATAAATGCAGGGTCAGTCAGTCAGTATAGATGCAGGGTCAGTCAGTCAGTCAGTCAGTATAGATGCAGGGTCAGTCAGTCAGTCAGTCAGTCAGTATAGATGCAGGGTCAGTCAGTCAGTCAGTATAGATGCAGGGTCAGTCAGTCAGTCAGTCAGTATAGATGCAGGGTCAGTCAGTCAGTCAGTCAGTATAGATGCAGGGTCAGTCAGTCAGTCAGTCAGTATAGATGCAGGATTAGTCAGTCAGTCAGTATAGATGCAGGGTCAGTCAGTCAGTATAGATGCAGGGTCAGTCAGTCAGTCAGTCAGTATAAATGCAGGGTCAGTCAGTCAGTCAGTCAGTATAGATGCAGGGTCAGTCAGTCAGTCAGTATAGATGCAGGGTCAGTCAGTCAGTATAGATGCAGGGTCAGTCAGTCAGTCAGTATAAATGCAGGGTCAGTCAGTCAGTCAGTCAGTATAGATGCAGGGTCAGTCAGTCAGTCAGTATAGATGCAGGGTCAGTCAGTCAGTCAGTATAAATGCAGGGTCAGTCAGTCAGTCAGTCAGTATAGATGCAGGGTCAGTCAGTCAGTCAGTCAGTATAGATGCAGGGTCAGTCAGTCAGTATAGATGCAGGGTCAGTCAGTCAGTATAGATGCAGGGTCAGTCAGTCAGTATAGATGCAGGGTCAGTCAGTCAGTCAGTATAGATGCAGGGTCAGTCAGTCAGTCAGTCAGTATAGATGCAGGGTCAGTCAGTCAGTCAGTCAGTATAGCTGCAGGGTCAGTCAGTCAGTCAGTCAGTATAGATGCAGGGTCAGTCAGTCAGTCAGTCAGTATAGATGCAGGGTCAGTCAGTCAGTCAGTCAGTATAGATGCAGGGTCAGTCAGTCAGTATAGATGCAGGGTCAGTCAGTCAGTCAGTCAGTATAGATGCAGGGTCAGTCAGTCAGTCAGTCAGTCAGTCAGTATAGATGCAGGGTCAGTCAGTCAGTCAGTCAGTATAGATGCAGGGTCAGTCAGTCAGTATAGATGCAGGGTCAGTCAGTCTACACAGTTCAGTCATTATATTCTGAGCAGGAACAGAATCTCTCAGCTCATATCTATGCAGGTTCCTCATTACCTCCCAGAAGGCAGATAGAAGATGCTGCGATCAGTTTAGGAGAAAAGTTTTCCTTCTGCTTCCTCCTCGGCTTCTTCTTCTGCTGCTTTTGCTGCTGCTGCTTCTTCTTCTTGTCTTTTATGGCGGTTGGCAAGCAACTTTTTGGTGCATTACCGCCATCTACTGGGATGGAGTGTGGATCAGGATTGAACTCATTCAATATCCTACAACTTATTAATACAAAACTAAACTAAAATGAATAAAAAAAAAAAAAAATAAATAAGATAAACAAAATCCTCTTTCTGTCTATTCAAGAAATCTCAATTATAAGGAAAAACTCTCTGAATTTGAGTCCAAGTATGAAAGGTATTTTAAGTTTACCTTTAATTTATTTATTTGTAATCTATTTATAAATTCATTTGTCTCATTTACATATTTAATGCAAAGCAATATGAGGAGCTCCACTGTTTCCTCTTGAAAAAACAAAAATCCCACCTATTATTTAAACCTGTATGGCCAAACCGTAACCTGATCTCTATTTCCTCCTTTCTGTTCCTTGCTGTTTTTCTCATAATGACAACTTTTGTTTGAATATTATTAAACCAGAGATACTTAAATTCACTTTTTAGGTATCTATACTTTACTCCATTACTTATTTTCTTTCTACTTCTGACTTCTACTCATTACATTTTCACACAAGTATCTGTACTTTCTATTCCTTACATATAAAAAAACAGTTACCACTCGTTACTGTTGGCTTCGGTTTAATGTTTTTAAATCTTTATTTCCCGTCATGTGCTCCATCCAATGCAGATCATTGGCTCCACCCACATCTGGTGAAAACTAGTGTGATTGGATGAGTCATAGAACGCAAACACTCATTGGTTAGCTAAAGGAAATCATCAGAAGCAAGCAGGTGTTCGCCAAAATAGTCGAAAAATTGAGCTTTCAATTCATAAAGTGGCATCTGAATGTTTTTTTAAAGGTTACTTTATACTTTTATACTTTAAGTAGTTTTTGGAGCACATACTTTTTTACTTTAACTTGAGTAAAGAGGTCAAGTTGATCGTTCAACTTTTACCAGAGTGTTTTTAAACTGCAGTATCTATACTTCTACTGAAGTAACTAATGTGTGAACTTTTAACACCACGGTATAAAATCATCTAAAAGTTCTTTCTTCTTCCCACTGTTTCTAATCTAATGCTTCTTGTAGTGTTTTATGATGGTTGGCAAACTAATTAAAGTGTATTACCGCCACCAGCTGATAGGAACTTAAACAAGGAAACAGGAAAAAAGAGTCACCTCGGAAAAAAAAAAAAGAAAATGTAATATTTTTCCGAACTGTTTAATTTAACCCAACATAATAAATACTTAATGAAATTCATCTAATTTATCTTGAAGTTATCGTCACTCTGCTGGTTTCTGATGGTCCTACTGGTTTTCCCATCAGGCTTTCAACCATTTCCCAGTTTAAATCTCTCACTTCAAGTTACTTTTCTGCAGCTTTCACTATTATTTTAAATTTAGTGGTTTTCTTTGTTTTCCGAGCTCTGCAATTGATCACTTCTACAATGAAAGGTAGAAATTTATCTCTTTTTTTTTTTTTTTTTTTTTACAATCAATGAGTCTTCTGCAGTGCTGTGACGCTGCTCCACAGGTTTTATATAGTGGGTCTAGAAATTAATGTTTTACTAAAACAGACACCCCCATTTTTTTTAAAAGATTATTTTATTTTAAGATGATTAGAACAACTTTCTAAAATTAACTGACTCATGTCGATGACCAGCTAGTCAGTAGAGGGCGCTAGTGAATGAACCCACGAGGAAACTTCTATAGTCTCTCCCCGCGCATGCGCCGTCAATAATAAACCGCTGCCAGCAGAGCCAGGCACAATGTATTAACGTGTCCGTTCCTCATCATTCACAGATCCACAGCTCATCCTGCCTGTGCATCGCTTGTGCCGGCCCAGATTTCCCCTAGGTCTGAGGCCGGTAACAATTGGGGGCTCGTCCGGGATCTCCAGCGCCACCTAGTTGGGAGAGTGGGAATTGCTACAGAGAAGACCTGTGTCCAAAGCTTCAGGAAGGCTGCAGTACTGTGCGTCATCCATAGAGTAGAGGCTACAGAGGTTAAAGATGGCTACCACAACCCCTTGAAGGATGCTGGTTTTCAAAATCCGAAAGAGACTGTTTGCATTGAGTATCAGTCAACTACAGGTCATCGCCAGTGCAATTGATGACGGATCGGGGCCGGACGCTGAGGGCCTTATGGCACTGAGTGAACCGGAACTGTTTGATTTAATTGACGATTTTTTAAGAAGCGAGAAGCTAAGCGGCATGGAAGATGAAGGCATGTCTCAGATTCTTGAACTTGATGACATGCTCGATCGCCTGTTACAAAACACGAATGAAGGAGATACAGTCGGGGGAGCAAAAGAAGTCAGTGAGGCTGCACCCCCCCAGCAGGAGGATACAGACACTCGTCAAAGGATCAGTTCGACTACTGCATCCATGGGCTACCACCTGCTGTCATCACCTGAAGAAAGAGACTTTCCCAGCCCTCAACCGACCATAGCCAGAGACAATAATGGACCTCCCAGGAACCTTTCCACCACATCGCCAGTTGAGTCCACCACCAACAGCGCATGTGCTGCCCTTCCTGGCCGTGCCAGCCTGTCTTCCAGTGCTGGTGAGCAGGTTGTAAAACTCACTGATGTAGCTGCTCTGTTTCCACGTAGAGAGTTTAAGATTCATGGTGGTCAGATTTCTGACACCGGTTCTGAAGTGTCCTACAGCAGACTCTGTAAACAAATGGATCAAGGTTTACTGGAAGGGTTTAGTGAGACAGAAGTTATTCGCACTGTGTTTAAGATAACTAAACCTGGTACATTCAGGGAGATGTTGACTAGCAAAGATGATCTTACTATGAGTGAGTTAAAAAGGTTTCTCCGCTCTCATATTAGAGACAAGAACGGGACTGAACTTTTTCAAGAGCTTAGCACCGCTAGACAGCAAGACAAAGAGGGCCCACAGCAATTCTTTTATCGTATCATGGGTCTAAAACAGAGGATTATTTTTGAGTCACAACAGCCAGGTGCAGATTTTTGTTATGATAAAAAACTTGTCCAAGGCACATTTCTTCACACTCTTTACCAAGGATTAAATGAGAAAAATAGCCATGTAAGATGTGACCTGAAACCTTTTCTCACAAACTTACAGGTTACTGATGACCTTCTCTTAGAACAGATCACTAAGTCCACTAGTGAGGAGATGGATAGGGTGAAACGCCTTGGTACAATGACTAAAACCCGACCAGCGTCTGTAAATGTGGCTCAAACTGACCAGACTAAACCAACCGCTGTTGATGCTGAATTACAGGCTAACCGCGCTGCTATTCTAGAACTGACTGCACAGGTGAACTCGATCGCTCAACAAGTTGCCCGCGTTGTCAAACCCTTAGAGCCTGTGACCAATGGGAGTCCTTGCACCCCCTTCACCCGGCCCTCAAACCGATTCCAGATATCAGCTGAGAACAGAGGCAGATGTCAGGAGTGTGTGCAAAAGAACATTAGGAGCTGCCCACACTGTTTTGTTTGTGGCCAAGAAGGTCATAGAGCAGTTGGATGTCTGCAGAGAAAGGTGTCGGTAAACGAGAGGAGGTCACAGGAATGAGGCTGCCGGTGACCGTTGCCAGTAACAAGCCTCCAGCACAGGCTAACTCAGTTGAAACCACAAACCCAGTAGACTCAATTACACTGCTGTCCCAGCCCACATCTAGAAACCGGGTAGCACAATTAATCGGCAAGCGATGTATGGTCTCATGTGCAATGAATGGAGTCCCACTTCAAATGCTGCTTGACTCAGGGGCTCAGGTGACCATGGTTGGGAGAGCATGGGTAGAGGAAGCACTACCCACTGTTAATATACAGCCACTCTCATCCCTATTCCCAGACCAACCGCTTGAAGTATCTGCAGCTAATGGTACCACGGTTCCTTTCGATGGATGGGCTTATGTGGACTTACAGATACGCAGTAAGAGCCATGGACACATTGACATTCAAGTACCCATATTAATAAGTCAGAGTTGTGTTAATGGTCCCCTTTTAGGTAGCAATGTCATTGCGGAGATGATCAAGGAAAACAAAGAACAGGTAGATATTACTGCCATACTGAAGGAAGCCATGAGTCTCAGTGAACAAACAGTGGAAACTCTGATCTCCATCCTCCAGATATTGTCCCCTGATGAAACACCTTCCCCTTGCCCTGTGCGAGTCGGAAAGAAAGGACTAAAAATCCCTGCTGGTCAAATCGGTGAGGTGAGGTGCAGAGTCAGAGCATGGCCACAGGGTGGAACAATGGTATTTGAGCCCAGCCTAGAGAACAACTGTCCTGAGGGTTTAGACCCCCTTCCTACTTTAGTTGATGTCCCCTCAGGCTCATCAAAAATTGCAAAAATTCCCCTTCAGAACTTCACCAAACATGACATCTATCTGCCACAGAGAACCATATTGGGCACAATTGAGGGAATTAGTGAGGTAAAACCAATTACCCTTTCTCCCAGCGACCCGAAGCAGACAAACAGTTCCACTGCTCAAACCTGCTCTGCTCTGATTAGAGAAAAATGGCATCCACCTATTGACTTGTCACACCTCGACGAGGATGAACAAAACATTGCCAGAGAGATGTTATATGAGGAATCAGATGTCTTTGCCAAGGATGATGCTGACATCGGTTGCATCCCAAATTTGAAACTCAAAATCCAGCTTAATGATGAGACACCAGTCCAAAAGCGCTATAATGCGATCCCAAAACCCCTGTATGGAGAAGTAAAAGAATATGTGCAGAAATTACTTGACCAGGGCTGGATAAGAAAGTCCACCTCACCATACTCATCCCCCGTGGTCTGCGTACGAAAAAAAGATAAGAGCCTACGTCTGTGTGTCGACTATAGGGCGTTAAATCTTAAAACTGTCCCAGACCGTCATCCGCTCCCGCGCATTCAAGACCTGCTGGACAACCTGGGGGGCTACTCCTGGTTCTCCATACTCGACCAGGGCAGTGCTTACCATCAGGGTTTTGTCGATGAGAGTTCCAGGCATCTGACCACCTTCAGTACCC